CGTGTTACTCCAAAAGTTATGTGTTGACGAAGCTGCTGCGCACCGTCAGCAGGTGGCACTTTGCAAGGCTCAGCGGGAGCTGGTTCCTTTCTGCCCATTCGTTAATTCGGGTCAGATCTTCCTGGAGGTAGACACGGTCGGATGCTGAGCGAATTGCTCTCCATAATTTAGCATCGTCTGCAAATATTTGCATCGGAGATAGAATGTCTGCTGGAAGGTCATTAATGTAGACTAAAAATAGTAGCGGGCCGAGGGCGGATCCTTGTGGTACACCACTGGAGAGGTAAAGGTTTTCAGAATAAGTGTCGGCTACTTTTACCTTGATTGCTCTGTCGTGTAAGTAGTCTTCTAACCAGGTGAGCAGGGAACCGTTGATACCGTAGGCAGCTAGCTTTTGGAGAAGAAAGAAGTGATTGACCCTGTCGAATGCTTTAGAAAAATCCAGGTATATCACATCTATGGACACACCTTCATCAGCCGCCCTGGTCCATAAGTCCCGAGTAATCAGCAAATTGGTGAGACAAGATCGTCTGCGTCGGAAACCATGTTGGGCATTAGAAATTATCTGTTGAGTTTCAAACTATAGTGTCAGTGTTGGGATGAGCAACACTACAATGTTTCCATTTTTACTTATGGTCTTTGCGATTGGAATGACCGAGGTCCACTTCAAGTGAACCGAGGTCTCAATAGAGGTTGCTTGTAGCAACCCAACCACCAGCGGATTCTCCAAGCCCAACTTCGTTATCGTGTCAGTCCATCAGCGATTACCGATTCCATCAATTTTGATAAAACAGGAAGAAGTGTAATAGGTCAATAGTTGGTAGGATCCGATCGCTTACCTTCTTTGTATATTGGTGTGATAATTCCATTTTTCCACTCAGATGGGAATGCATGGGAGTTAAGCAGACCCTGAAAATGGTTGCAAGTTGTGTTGCTATGTTGAGAGAAAGGGTTTTCAGTAGTTTTGGGCAGATCATGTCGATCCTAGGGCCACTGTACTCTCGGAGAGACTGTAATTCGCTTGCAACAGCTGCTGGATTAAAGGTGACACTAGATAAGCCAACGACATTGGTTGGCAGTTGATAGGGGAAAGGTTCAATGGTATTTGTAGCTACCGAGCCAAACTTTAGTAGTAGAGTGTTCGCGGCATCCACAGCAGTAGTTGTTAAGCCACCGGCCGTCTTGAGTGGTGGTATTCCGGGCTTAGCCTTTCTTGCCATTCACAAATCTGTATAGTAGTTTGGTGTTACTCGTAAATTTCAGCAACATATTCTCCTGCTATTCTTACTTATCGACTCTAATGAGTGACGTGCAGTAGTTTCTGATGACTTTGTAATTCTGCCATATGATATCACATGGGCTTAGCAAATGATACCTCCAGATTTCATCTCTTCTGTTGATCCATTTACGTGTTCTGCTCCGGATCCACGTATTGGTCTGGCGCGATGCTCGTAATGGTACAACCTTCGATGCTGATTGTATGACCCAGTTAATTTTGTTTTTCAGTTCATTCGACGCGTCATTCGCTGAGCTGTGCGCCTGTAGGTACAAGTCAACGACTGCTGCTGAGTTGTGCAGCTTAATATAATCCGTAATAGTTCGTTGAGTCTCCCTTCCTTTAGCAACAATACTGGTATAACACACATAACCAAATGTTAGGCCTGAATGGTCGCTACGGCCCAGTGGAGGATCGTATGCTACTGATCCAACCATCAACTATTCAGTAGTTAGGATTAAGTCCAGGATTGATGGCTTGTTTGAACCGCGATGTCTGGTTGGTCGATGCACATGGTTATACAAAACTGCCATATCCATGCATTCGAAGTGTTTCGATTTAAATGATGGCCCATTAGGGGACATTGATGCCATTGAAAGAACGTAAAAGTCACCCATTATAAGATAGTGAGAGTACTTTTGTGAAACAGCATAGCGGAGGGCGTTTAACAGAATGTTATCGCTGTATGCTAATATGTTCGGAGGTCTATAGATAACTGCTAAGAGGCAAACGTCAGTCGTCTTATGTGAACCAACATCTCGACCTGCTAGGTGCAGTCGGCAAAATAGTGCGTCGGGAATAACAAGAGAATTTTCGGTAAGAGCCTCACATTTCAAATACTTTCGAAAGTTGAGAGCAACACCGCCACCGAGAGATAGACGATCATTTCGAATGACTGATATCTCACGGTGTTCAATCTCCGGATCAAGTATGTCGTTTGAGAGCCAAGTTTCAGTAACTGCTATGAGGTCCCAAGTTGTTGTTTCATTTCGATGGCGCAGCTTCGAGAGCTTCGAGTACAACCCCTGAGTGTTGGTGTAGCAGCATTGTATTTGTTGACGCATCAAGAGCTCGGTTCGCTGTGAGTGACCGGCACAAATAGTGCCGGTCTGCTAAAGTTTTTGAAACGACCGTTTGCACACTTGGCTGGTTTGAGATAGGTGCAATTGAGGCTGGCTCATCTGTATCTGAGGTCTGTACTAATTGAAGGAATGGTCTTAACCGTACTTCTGGTGGCCCAAGTTTGCTGTTATCATGCCATGCTTGGAATGCCACTGATACTATTTCGGGTGCAGCCAAGGTAACTTTCAAAATTCGTGGCCCGCTACCTTGGTAGTTTGTGGAAGCAATTAGACAGGTGACGGCAAAATCCACGACATTCTGCGTGTCGTATAGTTCTGCGATGTACCTCCATTCTTCCATGTCGTGCTTCTGTCGTTCACTGCTATCGTCATGCTTCACTTCTGGCACACCATGAACCAGTACCACTTTCTTCATCTCATTTTGATGTGACGAACTAGGGTTGGATTTCCGCTTCTGTCTTTGTGCCCATGGTCTGTCAAGAAAAATGAGGGCGCTGACAGAAGAGTTCACTAGCATGTGGCTTGCTAAGAGAACATCTTCCAGGTCGCGCGTGTTGCCAAACGTTACTCGTAGTTACCGAGGTTCTCCTAAGTGTGGAGATGATGGATTTCGTGAAAGGCGTGTAAGACTAGTTGGGATAACTTTCAGTCCGAGTGCGCAGGTCATTTCAGCCCACCGGTTTCGCTCCTCGACTTGTCTACCTTTTAGCGATTCGCTACTGGCTTCTGGGACGTTTGAACATATCATTGTCATCGCCTTTTGGTTGCGTAGTAATTGTTTGTTCTGCAGTTCTTTGTGAGCTTAGGTTTGTCGAGTGGAGGTGTCGGATTTGTCTTTCGTGGACGATAGGCCAAGGCTACAGCAAAAAATTTTACGTGCAACGCCGTTAGTTGCACTATCTGTAGGGGTCAATTGTTATTGCCCAGCTACTGACGGAGGTGATCTTGCAATTTGTGCGTAACTCTGCATGCTTTGGCGCATTACGTGAGACTTGGGAGACCGTTCAACCGGCCTGTTTTCACTGCTGTTTTTCACTAACGGTATTTGCTTTTCGCTGGACTGGGTAGGGTTGTTGCTAGAGCGCTTTTGCCTCTTAACATGTTGGGGATTCGGGCTACGTAATGCACTAATCTGCAACTCGAGTTCTGAGAATTCCCTCCCAATACCGCAATCAGTTCCTATGGGTCTGCCGAAGTAACAGCCAATGCTTCACACCTTATCGTAAGCGTTTGAACAATCTTAATTATCGGACGATCTGAACATAAGTCACAAAACCACAAACTACCTGTCGATACCCTGTTAGCTCCGTCAAGTGTAATGTTCATATTTGTTGCGTCGTAGAAATTGGCACAGAAAGGACACGTGATTTTCGAGCGGATTTCAGTTCCCCGCTTGTCTGAGCTACGAATGACCTTGGGTTTGTTGCTCACTGGATTCCCGGTTGACAAACTTCTCAGGCCCATGGACAAATGGTCGGTATGCATTTTTAGGTTGCGCTGCTCACGCCGTTTGGGCTGCCTCAGTTGTTTGCTTCGGTGAGCGGGTTTGGTGGTGGGGCGTCACCGGTGCACGAGTAGCCAAAATCACACGGGCTTTGTGCAGTGAAATGCACGTAAAAGTATGGTGGTAAGGTGAGATGACAAAAATGCTTGTACCTCTGGTATACTGTGGTGCACAGTACTGTTATATGTTGTCTGACAGTCTTAAAGCATCTCTGTCAAATGGTATTCCATAGGAACTGATGAAACTTAAATAATTAAAGTTACTCAAGTTGGCCTTAGTGAATAAACTTCCGAAGGTGTTGTTTGTGGTGTATCAGCCTGTCGTTGGACTTACTTCAAAAATATAGACGCCGTTGGATAGAGCTCAGTGATCCGAATCGATTGAGCGTACTTCCGAAGATATGGCACAATAATGTGAGGGAATAAGTCCAATTTAACACAGAGCACAAGATTGCACGATTAGCAGGCACACGTAGTGGGCAATAGACAGGTGGGCACCTTGTCAACATGCACATCAAGCGCAGCCACACGGCGCATATCAAGCAACAGCCAATCACCTGAAATAACATTAACAAATAAAGTATATATGTTAAAGCATACGGTTATGCAGACATAACGCTTCGCTAAATTAGCATATGAAATAAGCTGGTTAGCAGTGAATTGAGATAAATACAAAGACCCGGAAATTACTTAAAAATTGCTACAAATGCAATGAGGTTAACGAAGATAAGCGCAGTTAGCGTAAGCAATGTGACCAGTTCATAGAAGATTATTTAGGTAGGCAGAACAAATCACTTAAAGTGGAATGAAATTTATCTAGCTAAAAAAGACAGTTTAAGTTGATCTGGCCCAGCTGCGGTGGGGAAGCACCATCAATGCAACATTAGCCTCAGCATGGGGCACTGCCTGACATATTGTGAGCTAAGTATTGTTAGCATCTTTTCAGTTACGTGGTGACATCGTTATCTTGCGATTTGCGAATGTACTACCGGAAAATTGAACAGATCCTAAGACGTTTTTAACAAGAAGAGGATTGTTGAGGAATCGTTTGCATATCTCATCAAAATCGGCTTATTCTAGATATGTTTCTTCTTTACTATTCGTCTATAGTGCGCTATATTCATGCATATCTTCCACAGCACCCCCTACCATCCGATTTTCCACTCCGGAGGGAGAACAAACCGTTTCTCTTGGATCCAGTTTGGCTTTGTTCTGTGTTGCCTCTGGACACCCGCCACCAAAAATCACGTGGACACGTGATGGTAAACCGATTGATGCAAATCGATTTGTAATAAGCGAGGATCAAGTACACCTGCGGCTCCCCGAAGTTAAGGAACATGACAGTGGTCGATATGCTTGTCTTATAAGCAGCGAATATGGACAAGCTTCGAGAACGTTCGACGTGAAAATCACATGTGAGTCTCGTGTGAATCATAGACAAGCGCGCATTTTCTTTCACACAAGGCACACTGTTTTATCGGTTTCTTTTCTTTTTTTTCCTCCACACAGTTGCACCTCGTCTGGAGAGTGATGGTCAATTACAATACAGTCTGGAAAGAACAGTGGGTGGAAGCGCCCTGTTTGAATGCCTCGTTTCCGGAAATCCCAGACCAAAAATCACATGGTATAAGGATGGCGTTGCGCTTGAGCAGCTCCCTTACCGGTAAGGCGATGACGCTTAAGACATGCTTCTTAGACCTCGGACTGAAAATAGCGCTTGTTTGAGTATCTAAAAAGGTTAATGGCTTATATATGTCGTTTAGAAGGATTAGTTCATACAATTGCATAAAACATTTGATAGTAACGTTGAGTGGGTGAGCACTGGGGTCTCATGCTGGAAGGTCTGTTAAAACTTGGCCGTCCAGATCGCCTAAATCACCCACGCCATATTTTGCTTTGAGCAGAATCCGAACTATCTCGTCTTACCAAAAAAGGAATGGTGGCGGCTGGTCAATGATAAAACAAAAATGTGCATGCAACATTTATGCGGAAGGTGAGTCGAATCGAGTGCCCAGTACCCCTTCTGATGATACTAACGGTTTAAGGTAGTTATTCCCCTACGCCAACTTTAAAACCACAACAAAATGAACGTAGCTGGTAGATGTAAGCATCTTTTATTATGTTCTCGGTGCCAGTTACAATAACCGGTGCGAGTATGTGGAACAGCCAACAGTTGTGACCAAACAAGCTTAAGATAAAAAAGCAACACAACCACAGTTCAGTTCTTGCGTCTACGGCCGCCTAAGACTGACAAATAACTGTTTATGAACACTCAACACCGGCTGCACCCGAATAATCGCGACAGCCTCGAGGTGCCGCACAAACGGAGGATTAGACTGACGCAGCACAGTTGTGAACGCGGAATCAAGCTAAGTCCACTGACTTTTGATCAATGTATGCTCACTTGTCTAGGAATCCGGCAGTTTCTGCAAGGACGGAGGTGCGGCAGGGTAAAACTGCTCTGCTGGCAAAATGGACGCAGTTCGGTACATGTTCCCTCATGCAGAAGGCAAGTGTCCTATCGGTTTTGCCGGCATAAGTTGCTCCGCAATCAAACACAAATTGATATACACAGTGGGATTTGACTTGGACCCCGACTAGCAGATCTTCCTTCGTCCGAGGTACTGGTTCGATTGATGACGAGGACTTAAGCTGCGCAGTGGCTCCTCTGCTTGACAGCGATCAGGCAGTTTGTCGTCCTCTGCGCAGCGAAATCACCTTTGAAAGACAGCTCTATATAAACTTGTTGCTTGTCCGCCGTACGTAGCAAGTTCATTGGCTTTTAGTCGGCTGTGCTTCATTATAAACCTTCGGAATTAGCCGCTCACCGTCAGAGTCGTGGTAATTAACGCCAACTCGTTGGCCAAACCGGAAGCCGAGCATCTTCGTTTGGCAAGACTAAATAATATCTATACGAATGTCCGTTTGTATCTCTTTGGTATTGAACTGGCGAAATGCAGGTACTGGCCAGACCATGTTACCTTTCAGTACACAGATCTGATCTGTACATCCTCTCGGTGGGTGATAAGAAGGCCTACATAAAGTAGACCATTTTCATGTTCCACCCCTCAGGTGAAGCGCAAGGTAGTGTGTGCTGTGTCAAATCGCTTTAGCAAGAGCGAGGTCTACCGCTCTGAGGAACAGAAGGCCAAGATGTCATAGACATAGCTTTTATAGTAGAGCAACTAGGCAATCATTGTATCCGTCCTTTTCTAACAAACATGGGGTAGTCTGTAAGCACATTGTCTAGTAGACGACCCATCGCCACCCCATTGACATGGCTGTACCGCAGTTTAAAATCGAGATGCATCTACAAACAGCAGGGGTTTTCTTAGCAATTCGAACGGAATCGTCAGGGAACATTTAACGTGATCTACCAATTCCCACACATTATCGACAGTTTGACGTAGTGAGATATGAGTGAAGAGGAATTCTACATCCAGGAAACGTATGAACTTATCAGAGAAGTTGACCGCTTCGACATCATTCGCAAGTTGAAATGTTCTTTAGGCTGGACGGTTTGGCACACAGCCTCAAAGGAGATAGGACTTTATCCAAGTAACGAGCTGGGTTGTGATAGGGCGTGGTTACCATCGAAAGGATCGGCGATATTCCACTCTTGTTTTCGGCAACCCATATCGCCGCGGAGTAGTGGAACCGCTGGTGTAAATCATACTGACTATCACACGAGGGAGGATGTGAATGCCAAAGTGATGTGTTGCACCGGCTTCGACCTCAGATATCTCATCTCGAGATGTCCAACTTCTCATTCATGTTTCGGAACGCAGGGACACGCTTTCATTGTGCGTATAACAAAGTGTCCCGTTATAAAAGGACGGCGATGAAGCGGGCTAGCTAGGGAAGTGGGAGCATCAGCGCGCGTCGCAGGTGTGCGAAGAATCAGACTGCAGGCATGTTAGTCATTTCAGTTAAAGGACGTCAACATAAAGTCAACATTCTGCCTCGGTTTCCTAATCGTACATCCATTAAATTTCCACGCATCGCACTCAGGTAAACCGGAGAATATTCTGTGCTGCTACAAATTTTCTGTGTGAGCGTTTTACCGTGTGTGGATTCTATGTGTGGGCGTTTATGTCCGTGAGCTTGTTGTTGCTATTCGAGTTTCACGCAAACTTTTTGCTTGTGGACTTTCGTCAAGAAACCAATGCTTATCATGACTTAACTGGGTTCACTGGTCTCCTGCCGCAATGATGACATTCATTTAATCAACAAGTAAGCACCGTAGCTATAGTAACGCGAAAGCGTAACTAAATAGAGTAAAGCGGAGTAAAGTACCAACTTGGGAACGAACAAAGGAGACAGACAAATTTCTTGCTGGTCGTTATGCCTATAACGATGTGAGTACTGGTGCCTTTACAGAAACTGGACATGTTCCAACTTGTTTGCTAACAATGAAGCTCAATGTGAGAACCATCTACGTGTCACTGCGCCTGGAATATTGCTTGACCTATCTCATAGTCAAGGTGAGGTCCTTTGGAAAAAAAAGCATTGGCGGGCGAATGTTTACACTAGTAAGCTGCATAGTAACCCATGGGAAAAAGAAAATTTTGGGGCCTGAGGACCTATAAAAGCCGCATTTCGTTTATCTTGAACATTTCGACAACCTGAGGGGACATCGCAGACTTCCAAGCATAAATACACTAGGGCACTTAACGGCGGATAACAGCGTATCTTTTGGCTGCTCAAGTGGGAAGAGGCACATATGTTAACCCGCGACGCACTGATACAAGGAAAAATCCTTAGAACCCAGTACCAATGGGTTAAGTCATATACTTCCTTACAGAGGTGATACAGCTCAGTGCTTCACAGACTTACAGCAGATACCAAGAGGCAGAGTCGGAATCCACCCCCCCCCGCATGGAAATATTTAACAGATAAGTGGACAGCACACTAAAGCAGTACGGAGGTCAAGTTGGGTCGTGGCCTAACTAAACGAACTTGTGCACCGTGGCGTGAGGACTGGCACAGTTACGGACTGTGAGTGGGCGGATATTTGGATGAGCTAATTGGGTGATCGAACTGGATGATCTTGAGTCCCAGTTGGATTTGAAACACATAAACTGGGCTGTATGTTGCGTAGTGTGCGCTTCCTTCAGCCCAACATGGGATTCATAGCTCTCCCGAGAACGGTATTGCGGGTACCGCTGTTGTGTCTACTGTTTTGACAACGCTGCTGGAAGAGACGGCACTGACGAAGGCAAAAGCAGGACATATTTTAACACTACTACTTCAAGACATGATACTGCCGAAGATTCCCACGCATGCCAGTTCTGCTCCTACCCCACCGGCTGTGCACGATGGAAGTGCTAGATGACCACAGGAACAAACCGCATGTGCTACCAAAACCAGAAAAATTTCAAGGTATGGGCATCTGAATTTTAGCCATGCTTTAGTCCGATGTCATATCATAGCATTCCCTAGACGCTACGTTATCCAAACACTACAAAGTTTCATAAATCAGCTCGGCTACGAACTTCCTTACTCGTTTGTGTTTACATGGTTATATTATGCGGAATCCGTAAGTTTAGTTCCAAGGTTAGCACTTGTTTATTGCATAGCTACGATGTTCGGATGCGATGCGATGATCATAAATGAAAATTTGTCATTATTTTCTTTTTCGCTCTCAGCTATCGCCTCATTAATCAAGATCGTCAGTTAGAAATTATAGCCATGCAACCATCGGATGCTGGACGGTACCGATGTGTGGCCCGAAATGCTTTTGGTCAACTTGAAATCAACACAGATGTTGTGGTCGGCGGTGAGTTTGAGCTAGATGATATATGGCCTTATTCTGTCCGGCTTCCTAAACTCACGGGTCTCAAGGTTTTTCTTATTCGGACCATCGTATGACTGGGACTGGGACTCCTTTCACTAAGCTAGTTGTGAAAACGAAGTGTCAAGTGGCGTCCAAATCAATGGGTCGAATAATTAGACATCCCAAAAGAATGAATCTTGAGGATCTGGGCAACTTCCGAAGGCAGCGTTAACCTGAACATAAATTAGGTATGCTCTGTTTACTCATTACACTCACTAAAGTGCCCGGAGAAAAACTCAAGGTCAAAAACAACCACATTTAATCTTCAGCACAATTTGGCGCTTACGACGCATGATCTCTACTGTGTCTACGTTGGGTCTAATGAGAGTTTTCCCGCAAGGAATTATCTACCCAATACTTGTTTCTGGTTTTGATTTCCGACAACTGGCAGTCTTTGTTGCCACAGGAGATCATGCAGCATGTTTTTCGACAACGTGTACGAGGTTGGATGTTGCGACTAGGCTATTTTTGATAGACTGGGCTCTGTTCCTGGAAAGTATGTGGCATTGATGTGATTCTGTAAGGTCACATGTTTGAGACAGTTTCGTTAGCACCCATTTATGGTTTATGAAAACGAAAGTACAACTGGCAGTACTTCGCATATACTAATATTTTTTGAGGAAACTCGGATCTCTATCGACGTGCAATTGTTTTTCTTGAATAACCAGACCAGCCCAGCCGAGTAGCGCTGATAAGATGAGCAGTATGAAGCATTTAATGTCGATATGTTTGCCGAACTTGAAACTTGGTTGCAAACGTTGCGCCAACATGTGAGGTGGCATCGTCAGTGAGATGGTATGTACTGAGAAAGCACTGGGAGAATATCACAGTTCGTGAGTACTTTATCAGCTGGAAAGGCTTGCTGCATTCTTCTTCTTCTTCTGAGTTTAGATATGCTAAGGTCCGTCCGCTCAGTTTACTGAGTTAGTATACTGCAACATTTGACTATTCGTCAGTCCCTAGCTTTCACACCGAATAAACGTTGTTCGCATTTCACCGTAGCGTCCAACTAGTCAGTTCATTCGGGAAGCACTCATCAGCGATTGATGTTGCCGTCTGGGGATTCAGGAGCTCGTGTGTTGAAGGAACGCTCTGTCATCATAGTCCCCTACAATGCTCATCTCTAGGCTTTAAGGCATAGCATGGGGTCCATGTAAGGTTTTGATGTCCTCGTAACGGTGTCTTTGTTTCCCTAGTTCAATGGTACACTATGTCAACAAAGATGTAAACTTGGCGTTGCGTCGGCCCCCTGGCCGCGTTAGTGTGAGCACGGAACAGCAGGAACAAAATTGGGGTTTCTTTTTATGGGAGAATGACAGTTTGTATAGCAGGAAGGCTGACAGGCTGTTAGCTATCAAAATCAATCAGAGCACTCAAAATGCGTGATTGAAGGATGCGAATAAGGATCGAATAAATTAAGAGCCAATTGTATGCACAAAAATATGATTCGACGCCGACGATGGGGCCAACAAAAGTACAGGTTACAACAGGCTGCAGTGCATAAGCAGAGCAGAAGTGCGCTCTGAAGTTATAAATGTTTGCCTAAGTAGGCCTGAACTTTAACGCCCTTAACTATTAGTGAAGTCACAAATGTCTGCTCGCCATGAAATTTCAGTCTGCTTTCATGAGGTTAACTGTGTTTATCCCTCGTGAAGGACTATCACTATCTGCGCTTATAAACGAGTGCTAGTGTTTGTACGGATGGACGGAGAAAGCAGTGCTACAGCTTGCCGGGAACAAACAACGTTAAGAGAAGCAGTAATCTTAACATAGATATGATATAAGTGGTGAGGCGAACACGTTTCTTGTTGTGGCACACGTAACACAAATTGTGATCCTTCTGAAAGAATTCTGACTTAGAGCTACCCTATGTACGTTGGCTTTCAGCTCCAGCTCGTATCGATCGTGGACGTGTCCGTACCGAATACACGATACGTGAAGGTGACGAACTGGTCCTCGCTTGCCCGGCCAGTGGTTCCCCTACCCCGAGGATTCAATTCACACGAACCAGCGAGCGCGGTGATTTGGAAGAATCTGACAAGAGCATGCCGAGACATGCAATTGCCTCACAGGTACTTTAAAAAATTTTCATTTGTAGAAATTGCTTAATTCAAATGAATTGGTACTCTAACCCAAGTGAATGATGTTATTTACGTGTGTTGCTTTTGGGCATCGCATAGCCGACAGGCGTTGCGAAACCATGTGCCATTATTCTATTCCAAGAGATGTTATTGCAGTATTTAGTTCAAAGTATAGAGCTAAGTGGAGGTTACAAGTAAATGTTGAATTAAATGCATACTCGGAATACTTCCTTAGACAGGTTGCGCCAATTCAATACTGCTGGTGGCAGCCTTAAACGAAACCAGCTACGCCCACATACTTTTCTATTTGAATATCACATGGCCTGCTGATTAGGATGAGGAAGCCGGCTCTACACTGGTAAACGCAGACTAAACTCAGTTATCTCGCAGCTAGTGCTGTATGCTTTATCCGATAACTCTTAGTTGATATCGTCATTTCAAGTGATTGCCTGTTATTTGACATCCCCGGTGTGACTGCGTTTGGTGTGTATGTTGAGAAGGTGCCTACCTGTCTAACACCATCGGACTCGATTACTGGTTCCAGGAGACTGTTACTTTTGCTGGGGCTGGGGAGGGCTTGCATGGTCCTCGTGGCCGTGCTAGGCTCAGAGTGGCTCCATCCAGTGTGGAGGGGACTACGGTCCAGCCACCGCCTTGTGTGCGATTGACTCCTAAATACAGCGTGCTTGTATTTTCCTGTAAATGTGTGTGGGCCGGTTCTACCGCTGACAAGTGCCTCCCATCCACATAATTCCCGGTCTTATTCCTTCGGGTTTACACACTGGATATGGGATGTGTGGGTAGGACAATGGGTGGTGCAGCGCAAGCTATGCATGCGCCCTCGGTAGCCGCAGGCGTCCTGTGTATGTCCCCGTGAAGGCCACAGTGTAAGGAAAATAAGGAAACGGATGCCGCCAACCATATTTGGACTGAGGAGGAGGTGCCTTCCGAGCTGAAGGATGACCTTGTGCTTCCATGCGCTTGATGTCGATGGGGAACAACCCATCAGTGCTTGCCGCTTCCGCACTTGCCGCTTCTTCTCCGCATGCATGAGGGCTTTCTCCTGCACCTCGGCAACTTCCTTCGTGATTAGATCGCGCCATGCACGCTGATCAACCGCCTTCGATTCCCATGATCTGCAATCCAGATTAGAACGTCTGAGGCTCACTTTAATCATGTCCTGGTAACGCAACTTCGGTTTCCCCACGTGCCGCTTCCCTATACTCAGCTGACCATCTAATAGCTGCTTCGGTATCCGCGTCGAACCCATACGGCTCACATAACCGATCCACCTCAGGTGTCTCAGTAAAAGTATGCAGTCCACTGCATGCATCCCACTTTGTCGCAACACTTCCGTGTCAGCAACTCTGTCGCTCCATTTGATGCGCAAAATCCGTCGCAAGCACTGCTGATGGAACCGCTCGAGATATCGCACAACCCGACGGTACTTCGTTCCCGTTTCCCTGCCGTATAGAAGAATGGACAGCACCATGGGTTTGTACACCATCAGCTTCGTGCCATCGCTAAGCTGATGGTGGTTCCACACTCGGTACTCAAGTTTCCAGAATGCCGCCGCTGCCTTCGACACGCGGATACAAAGGTCACTGGGTTTCTGCTGATCAGTCGACATCACACTCCCAAGGTAGCAGAAGTAGGAGGTGGTTTCCAGTACTTCAGCACTAATGCTGATTCGCGGCAATATTGGAGATTGCACCTCCGGTGAAGGTTGAAAGAGACAGACCGTTTTGCTTGTGTTGATAATGAGCTTGAATTTTGCCGCTGCCAAAGCCAGAGCACTGGTCATATGCTGCAACTCATCCGCGCTGTGTGAAAACAACGCACAGTCGTCAGCAAACAGCAACATACGGATAGTTGTCTCACAGACTAGAGTTCTCGCACCGAAACGATGGATGTGCAGCTACCCAACATCAATGCGGTGCTCCACACGAACACCGTAAGCACAAGCCGCACAGGACATCATTGCATGAAGATATATATTAAACAGGGCAGGAGCTAAGACACAGCCTTGCTTCACACCAGACAACTGCAAAGTCATCCGAGGTCTCTCCACTCAGCTGCACCCTCGCTCGCATACCACTGTGCAGCCATTCAATTAAACTTACAAACTTACGCGGGCAACCAACCTTACCCAACACCAGCCACAATACCTCGCGGTTCACCGTATCAAATGCCTTGGTGAAATCAACAAAAGCGAGTACAATGGCTGGTGTCGTTCTCTGCACTTCTCTTGCAACTGACGAACCGCAAACACTATATCTATAATGTGCGACCCGAGCGGAATCCACACTGCTCTTCCGCCACGTTAGGTTCCACAACCTGACTGACGAGGCGGTTAAGCAGGATTCGGGCAATCACCTTGCTCACACAAATCAGCAAGTTGATGCCACGATAATTCGTGCAACATTGCTTGCTACCGTTGTCCTTGTGCAGTGGTAGCACATGGGCATCCTTCTGCTCAGGAGGCGCCTCAATCCATATGCGTTGCACCAAGTGGTACAGCGCAGTCAATAACGCGGTCCGCTGTGTTTCAATTTTTCAGGCGAGATCCCGTCGGCCCCAGCACACTTGCCGTTTCGCAGCTGAGCAAATGCTCTCTGCGTCTCATCCAGTGTCGGGGTGTCCGCCATACCCGCTTTCACATTTTGCTGCTTGAGGCCGTTCAATGTAGGCCAGTCCATCTCTGAACGGTTGTTCAAGAGATAGTCAAATTGTTTCAGCTAGATCTGCATTATGGCTACAGTCTGTGTACAGGTCGCGCTTGAACTACCATCGATCAGTGTCCTCAGTGGCACCAATCTCGGTCCATACACCGCCTTCAAGGGGTCAAAGAATTCCTTGTGTTGGCGACGCTCGCCATGGCATTCCATCTGCTTCGCCTTCTCCGTCCACCATGCATGGTTTATGCGACGGAGCTCTCGGGGCAGTCGCCGTCGAAGTTAGCGAAACTGACTCTTCTTCCCCAAGTCACTGGCTTCTGCCACATGTGCAGCAAATGCTGCATTCTTCCCCGACACCAATGCGCCGATCGTCACATTGTTGTCATCAAACCAATCACACCGCTTACAGTTTGCGCGCCCGATGGTCTCCTCGGCAGCAGCTCTCACCTTGTCGCGAATGTGGTGCCACAGATCGCCCACTGTGGCTATGCAGTCCACATCATAAAGGCGTGCAGCCATCGTCTTCTCCAGCTCAAAACGTTTCGCCACAGTACGGAGGGAGAGAATGTTAAATTTACGCCGATTCACGGCGGGAGTGCAATACATAAATTTACGAAAATATATGTACTGTTTGGTGCGCACCAATTTGTGATCAGTGCCACACTCAGCTCCACGCAGTCCACGTGTCGTGCGCTGTTCACGCATATCACGCTGACGAACGGTGACATAGTCGAGCAGGTGAGCGTGACCACTCTGTGGGTGCTTCAAAGTTGCTATATCACTCACACTCAGTACAAACCGAGTGTTCATAATCGTCAGGCCGTGTGTGGCACACAGTGAGAGCAGCCTGTCACTGTTCGCATTCGCTGAAGGAATGCCATGCGAACCGATAGCATCTGTCCACACCGATGCATCACGCCAAACTCGCGCGTTGAAATCACCCAGCAGAAATAGTCGGTCGCTCCTCTGCACAGACCGTAACACGGAGGATAGCTGAGTGTAGAATTGGTCACGCGTGTCATCATGATGACACATGGTCGGACCGTACGTGCTTATAAAATTGGCAAATTTACCTCTTCCGAGACCTAGGCGAGCAGCCATCAGTCGCGCACTGATGCCTGTTGGTTCACCTACCAGCTGGCCATGGAGGCGATCGGATATTGCAAATCCGACCCCATGTGCACGTGGTGCTGCGGTGGCGTTGCCCACCCAGTAGAATGTGTAGCCAGCACCTACTTCATGCAACTTACCTCGCTCAGCAAGCCAAGTTTCACTGAGCGCCGCAATATCGATGTGGTAACGCGCCAGCTCCATTGCAACCAGTGCAGTGCGTCGCCCGGTGCGCTCACTGGAGTTCCGGTCCAGTAGTGTGCGCACGTTCCAGCCCCGATGCTGAGTGCTTTTGCGCAGGCATACGATTGCATTGGTGGGCAATCGCACACGAGGTGGTCGTTGTAGTTCGGAGGTTTGCTTGCGGGACTCCGCCCGGAGCCTTTGACTCAATAGCTTGACCCACGAGGCAGTGGGTGGTTTGGAGGTTTGCTTGAGAGACTCCGCCCGGAGCCTTTGAGTCAATGACCTGACCCACAAGGCAATGGGTAGTAGATCCAGCTAGGGTATGTGATTGCAGAGACAGATTGGGATCTGCTTGACGGCCGTCACACGCAGCCTTTGAGGTACTGGAACGATTTTTATATATTTTGCGAATACACCTGCGACCACGGTCAGACGCCGGTGGGTTTTGGTGGGTTTGCTCCAATTTGACCAGGGGTTGCCTGGCTTGAGGCGGGCAGTAGCAAACCATTGAACACCCGGAGGTTCCCTCCCACCGTCAGAGACAATGCTCCTGCTCTACGCCAATCGAGCTGTGAGCTTATAACCCGTAAACCTGTTGTCTCCCATGCCTAGGTTTTACGGGAAGAGGGCCATCGACCACTTAACAACCTCCGAAGAGGATGGACTAGGATACTGGCAGGGCGCCTACACTTGACAGGTGAATGACTAAGGTCCTCAGCCAAAGCCTTCGATTAAATGTACACAAATGTACAAAGGCAGCGGGTCTAGCGAATTGTTAGTTCTGTGACTCATGCGGATTGGTGTCCTGGATCTTAGCAGGGAGAAGGGCGAAACCCAACTCCCACCCAGCGGTCGCCACGAGGAGGCGCCCAGGACAAGAGCCAATGGCGCAACAGTAGCAGCAGTGGGTAGATCATCTGTCAGGGTCTAGCCACCACCAGTCTCAACGCACCATATGCTCTCCCGCCTGTATATATATATATATATATATATATATATATATATATATATATATAT